CGTAGTCTGTTATTGTCTCTATAGTGACAGAACTAGAGCTCGCATTACGATATATTCTATAGCCGGATCTGTAACCGTATCTGTTATCCATTTATGTCTTATGGTGACAGATTAGAAGCTCGCATTCCGATCTATTCTTACGGCGACTGTAACCGTGATCTGTTACTTGTCTCTATTCGGACGAAATGAAGCTCCTGCATAATTTTCGATATATTCTATAGCGCGACTGCTAACCGTATGCTGTTATTGTCTCTATGTGACAGATAGAAGCTCGATTGATCATATGCATTTGGTCTGGTTATTTCTCATACGCGCACTGACGAGTTCGTGTTATTGTCTCTATATGTGACAGAATAGCAAGGCTTTGCACTCACGATCTATTCTCTTACGCGACTGTAACGCGTGTTGTTATTTGTCTCTATGTGACAGACATAGAAGCTCGCATTAACGATTATTCTATACGCGACTGTAACCTGTAATCTGTTATTGTCTTCTATGTGACAGAATAGCAAGCGTTTAGCATTACGGATCTATTCTATTACGCGACTGTATACCGTATCTGTTAGTTGTCTCTATGTACAGAATAGAAGCTCGCATTACCGATCTACTTCTCTACGCGACTGTAAACCGTATCTGTTATTGTCTCGTATGTGACAGCATAAAGCTACATTAGATCTATTCTCATACGCGACTTGTAAGTATCTGTTATTGTCTCTATGTGACAGAATAAGGCTCGCAGGTACGGATCTATTCTATAGGCGAATGTAACCGTATCTGTTTATTGTTCTATGTGACAGAATAGAAGCTCGCATTACGATCTATTCTATACGCGACTGTAACCGTATCTGTTATTGTTTCTATGTGACAGAATAGAAGCTCGCATTACGATCTATTCTCTACGCGACTGTAACCGTATCAGTTATTGTCTCTATGTGACAGAATAGAAGCTCGCATTACGATCTATTCTCTACGCGACTGTAACCGTATCTGTTATTGTCTCTATGTGACAGAATAGAAGCTTGCATTACGATCTATTCTATACGCGACTGTAACCGTATCTGTTATTGTCTCTATGTGANGTCTCTATGTGACAGAATAGAAGCTTCGCATTACGATCTATTCTCTACGCGACTGTAACCGTATCTGTTATTGTCTCTATGTGACAGAATAGAAGTCGCATTACGATCTATTCTATACGCGACTGTAACCGTATCTGTTATTGTTTCTATGTGACAGAATAAAGGCTTACATTACGATCTATTCTATACGCGACTGTAACCGTATCTGTTATTGTCTCTATGTGACAGAATAGAAGCTCGCATAGAGACAATAACAGATACGGTTACAGTCGCGTATAGAATAGATCGTAATGCGAGCTTCTATTCTGTCACATAGAGATAGAAGCTTGCATTACGATCTATTCTATACGCGACTGT